ACCTTTCGGACCTCACAGACCACCAGTGGCAACTGCTGCTCCAGGCAGAATTGTCAGCAAGTGTGGAGGTCCAGAGGCACTGCCCACGCTATTCCTTGTTTCTTGGTATCTTAAAAGTTAATATCTACACCTGAAACAACATAATGTTATTGGTCAATTATACCTCCACAGAGGAAACTCCCTCTTCCTCTCTGAAATCAATAAAGAAATAAAACTCTGAAACAACAAATCTAGTACCATTAGCCTACCCAAAATTGGTTGTCACAGAAATGGATTTCTGCAAAGTACTGAAAAAGCAACACCATTCTCCTAAGTCCAGGATATGATTCTTAAAAAATACAAAGAAAAAAGACCCTTTTTTTAAAGTGGACCTACAACTGAATGCAAATAAAGACCTCCTAGGTTTGCTTCCCTAAATTTACTACTGAGTCCCATTATGTAATCATTTTCATCTTACTTGTTTTGCCCTCTTAAAAAAATAGTACTAGAACCCCAGCTGGGTGGCTGAGTTGGTTGGAGTGTCACCCTTTACACCAAAAAGTGGAGGGGTTGATTTCCAGTCAAGGCACACACCTGGGTTGTGGATTGGGGCCTGTAGGGGAGGCAACCAATCCACGTTTCTCTCCCACATCAATGTTTCTCTCTTTCTCTCAAATCAGTGAAACATATGTTTGGGTGAGGATAAAACAACAACAACTGATATAGTTCCTGCCTTCTTGGGGTCTACAGTCTCTCTGGGCCTCAGTTTCCTTTTATTTACCATGAATTTGTAGATTAAAAAATTTGACTTAAGAGAGAGGAAGGGGGAGGGAGAGAGAGAGAAACATTTACCGGTTGCCTCCTGTATGTGCTCTCACCGGGGGATCGAACCCACAGCCTAAGTATGTGCCCTTGACCCGGAATGGAACCCACAACTTTTTGGTGTACCGGACGACACTCCAACCAACCAAGTCCTCTGGCCGGAGCAAAACTAAAAATTTTAAAGAAAATTTTCAAACATACCTAAAAGAAATAGTATAACTCAACTCTTTATCACACAGTTTCAATAATGCTCCATATTTGGCGTTTTAAAAATAAACTGTTAAAAAAAAACATTATTTTTTTAAATTGTGGTAAAGTACAGCGTTCCCCCCCCTTATCTGTAGTTTCGCTTTCCACAGTTTCAACTACCCACAGTCAAGCTTGGTCCAAAAATATTAAATGGAAAATTCCAGAAATAAACAATTCATAAGTTTTCAATTTTGCGCCCATCTGAGAAGCGTGATAAATCTCGCATCCTCCTACTCTATCCTGCCTAGCAAGTGAATCACCCCTTTGTCCAGCTGTATCCACTCCCGCCAGTTAGTCACTTAGTCGCCCTCGGGGCTATCAGATCGACTAACCTGGTACTGCAGTGCTTGTGTTCATGTAACCCTTATTTTACTTAATAATGGCTGTACAACACAAGGGCAGCAATGCTGGCAATTTGGAACCACCAGGGAAGCTGTGAAGTATTTACTGTAAGTGAAAGGTAAAAGTTCTCAGCTTAATTGTTCTATTTTATTACTATTGTTATTCTCTTCCTGTGTCTAATTTATAAATTAAACTTTATGTATAGGAAAAAACAGTACATACGAGGTTCGGTACTATCTGTGGTTTCCGGCATCTGCTGGGGGTCTTGGGACATCTCCTCAGATAAGGGGGGGCCACCGTATACATAACATAAAATTTCCCAACTTAATTTTTAAGTGTACTGTTCAGTAGTGCTAAGTACATTCACACTGTTGTGCAACCAACCTCCAGAAATTTAACTAGCGTTCATAGTGCTGGCCTGCAGAGGAGTGAAGATTTTAAAAACTAGTTTAAGAGCTTTAAACTATTTTATAGTCAAAGGTAATTTACTCACTTACAACAGAACCCTTCTGGGCACTGAATTTTGAAATCTTTTTCCTTTGTTGAAGAAACGTCTAAAGGCTCCGCACGGAGCCCAGGATGTGTGTAACTGCACACTCAGGATTACGCTGAAATCTACCACTCATCAAGCCGCCTGATATGATGGTCCTTTCAAGGCGGCTGTCTCTTCAATCAAGTCCCTCACTGAAGGAATTTCAAATCAGGTATAAATCTCTGCAGTAGTACTTCTATATAGAGCCGTGTAATCAAATCTCTTTTTTTAAAAAAAGACACCCTTTTATTTGTAGACCTCTACTTCAAGTGAAAATGAAACAATTCAATTCATTGGGCTGCTTTTTGGCAGTCTACCTATAGGTTTCACAAACGCTTTTCAGAAAGGTATCTCGGGAGTTCATCGACTGGCAGACCCAGTTAACCGGCCAACTGAACCACAGGGCACTCGTCGGTTTCCCTTTTCTCTCCCTGATTTACTTTCGGTATGTTGCTGGGCTACAGACACACTTAAATCGTATTCTAGAAAAGTTTTGGAGCCTACATTCTGACTGTTCGACCAGTAGCACGTGATATAGAACCAGACTAGGGTCCATTTCAGACCTTACTCAGGACTGTACTATTCTCCTGTAACCAATAAAAAAAAAAACACCAAAAAACTGGCTGCAACCAAAGTGGGTAACAATAGTAAATGCACAGGCCGAGAAAAAGGTAAGCTTGTCTCCACTGCCACAGAGGCTTCCCCTTTTTAAATCTCCCTAATTTTTGAAAATGCTGGTGGTGCTCCATGCCACTTTCTGGCTAAGACCCTTTTCTAGTTAAGGGCAAGAAACGGCAGAAATCTTCTAGCTCCTTTAAGGGGTATGTATAATAGTTGAAACAATATGGTTCTCCTATTTGGCCATCCAGTTGCACGTGTGAGACCCAGGACACAGGAAAGTGCCGTTTAAATACACATACATACTGAGGTCCACATTAAATCCACCACCAGCGGTCACGTGCTGAGCCCAGGCCTGCCTGGCTGCAATGGAAACGCGTTCCCTAATCCCCGAGTATTTGAAGGCTATAAAAAGCTCCTTTAGGGGCACTTGTTCCCACAACTCTGAGCTGCCGGGAAGTGAAGACAAGGGCATCTGGAGGCCTGAATGCCCAAGCTGGGAAGCTTTAGGCTAACACCCTGATTAGAGATTAACTACTTCTCTGAAAACCTGCAGCATATTTTAAATGCTTACCCTTTCTCACTTCTCAGTGTGCAGACAGCACCCCAGTGCTGTATGAGTTAGTCGTGCTGTGAGCTCTATGGCAGATGCTGTGTAGAGTCCGTATGGAGACTGGCCCACAGCGGGCATGCACCCATTTGCCGTGAACAGGGTGGCAAAGTCGGTGTTATTCACTGGATGCCCTGGTCTGATAATCCGAAACCCTCCATCCTCCCCCCACGCTTCCAGGTGAGCAAGGGAGGGGTGGAGGGGGTGAGTGGCTCCGGAAGCTGCCCAGGGCCTGGCGGGTGCCGGGGCTCCCCGCTTCCCACCCACCCCGGCGGGGACGAACTCACCTCCAGTTTGTCGGTCAGCTCCTTGTGCATCTGTTCGTACTGCCGGCTCATGTCCTGGTTCTTCTCGAGCAGCGCCTTGCCCAGCCGGGCCGCCAGCACCAGGTCCTTCTCCTTCTGCCGGAT